AGCCAGCTATCCAAATTCGATCAAATTTTTTTTATTTTAATTCTATGCATTCATAGAATTAAAATAAAATAAATTCCACCAAATTCGGTTAGCAGGTTATCGTGAAATCTTCGTCAAAATTCAAAGAAAGAAAAAATTCACACGACTTTTTTTCCGATATTTTAAGTTTTTTTAAAAACTTTTAGTGATGGTTTCTCGCTAACTACTAATATAATGCAATGAACTTTTTTATTTCAATTCACTAAACTATAGAACTAAAATAAAATTTTTTACCGAATTTGAGCAAGCAGGTATTGAGAAATACTTGCTAGAAGCTTTATAAAAGACTTCGTTTAAATGATCTATCACGTTATTATCCGATAATCGGTGATGTATCTGGCTTTAAGCGACCCCATTTTTGTCGAAAATCGCAGAAATTTTATAATAGATTTTAGGCACTGTTGTAAACATTCAGTTAGAGCAATACCTAAAACTTTTTACTGATCGCTACGTGTTTGCTATCAAAAATCAATGTTAATTTTGATTTTTGCTGGTTTTATTGTTAACTTTATAGTGTTTCACTAAAAATGATAAAAATGATAAAAATGACGTGTCTTAGAGTTGAACATTAAAGTATAAGAGTTGTGATAAGATAAAATTGGACGTCATCAGCAAAATTTACAAAAAAAAAACATTGTTACAATTTTTCTTATAGAGTGTTTCTTGTATCAATAATAACATCAAATGGCTTTTTTTTTAGTCTTACAGTATATCGGGAATGACTTTATTATATAAAGCATTAATCAAATATCTAAACATTTAAATAAACTTATCGAGCATCCGGATAAACTACTGTACGTATCTAGCAATAGAGCTGGGATCCTTTGAATATCCATCATGACTATTCAATAAATGTTCACGGATTTTAATCATATCTGGATTTTACATGAATATTCATGAATGCCCATAAGAATGTTCATTGAATATTCTGTTATATTAATTCTAAATAAATATTCATCTAATATTATCAAATATCATGACTATTCGCGAATTTTGTGTAATTTAATATTCACAATTTAATATAATCTATTTCTCGACTATTCACGAATTTTGTGTAACAGAATATTTAATTGAATATTCATTTTTAACCATGGATATTCACGGATCCCAACTCTATCTAGCAATCGCATATTTGTTCAAGAATATTAAATAGCACTTAATTATTCAAATTTTATCTATATAATTATCAAATTTTATAATTTATATATAATATGAATTTAATAAACCACACAGTGAGCAATTATTTAACATTTTTAGGAAAAGAAACATCGTAGTAGTTTTCTTATGCATCTGTGACAAATTTCCGATTAGTTAGAGATCGAATAAACTAATCAAGTGAGTTATCATTCCGATGAATAAAGATATGTAAGTATGGACTATCTTCTTTATTTGGAGTTACTCTAATTGGCTAAAATTTTAAAATCGGCATTTCACACAATGTATTTTTGGAAATGCCCCAATTAAAACAAACTTCAGTTAATCATAATGATTGGGCAACATCTCGATCACCAGAAAATCACGTGAAAGAGAATCCAGCTAGATCGCAGAAATAAAAATTCCCAGTCACCAATGATTTTATCTACTCTATATTAAAGGGAATTCATTTGGTAATATTTCATGTGCGTGAGTCCTAAATTGGGACTCTTATGCAATAATCAATATTTTTATTTGTCCATCTTGAATAGCTGTCATAATCACACGACTGACACCATTATCTTCCTCACAATTTATACAAATCCAGTCTTTATAATAATCAATTATATTATTTTAATTATTCTTTATGCTCATCAACCAAACGAAATTAACAGTTAAATATTCATGAATAAAGTTGGTTTTCGGATTATCCTAAAATAAAAAAGATTCGTTTTTGGATGTCCTAAAATTCCTAAATCATATCGGCAAATTTGCGGAATTGACCTAAATTAAGGTCCATATATTTTAACAATGCGATTGTAAAGCCGACCCCAAGATTTCAGCTATTATGCATTCTGCAATTGTTAAATCCAGATCCATTCCGCAAATCCGCCGATATGTTGACCTATATTTTTACTAATGCGAAAGCACTAACGATTGACGTAAATACACTTTGAAACACACATTGCTTCAAGCTGCAGATCTACAACGTAGTTTATTAAATTCGTGATAACAGTAAAGCAAGTTATGTTATATTTCAGTCATGAGTATGGTGGAATAATTATGGTTGATCATTAATATAAAGAAGAAATTAGTGTTAAAAGAACGGTCGAATATTATTAAAAATCTGATAGTAGTTTAATTTTAAATTTTAACAAAGAATTTTTTTTAAATTGAATATCGATATTGTATTAATTTTGTAATTGTGTACAATATAAAAATAATATAATAATACTAACGCTATACTATAATGCTACAAAATATTTTTTAAATATAAATATAAAATTGCGATTATACATATAACGATAAGCAAAAAAAAATTTAAAACAAATATATACAATATAAATACGCATAGCTTAAATCAATTTTTTATTTTTATCTTTTTTGAACCTGTGACATCACAAGACGCTGGGGTGCGTATTTTATTATTAAATCAAATATAACAAATATTACTATATGCCGATACAGTATACTTTTACACAGGTCGAATTTTAAATTTCTATAACATTTGGACATCGATATGTCTTATAGCTAACCGATTTTTGACACGTATTTTACCTATCGGAAGTATATCGATTCTATTAGATATCCAATACTTCTATCAAAAAGTATTGGATCTGATATGCATATTTGAACCGATAGGTGAAAATACGCGTCAAAAATCGGGTCATATCGACATCGATATTCTGCTGATCTCAGAAATATTATAGAAATTTTAAAATTCGACTTGCGTTATTCTTCTCTAATATAATCTGCAGTTGGGTAGATGAACGCTATGATATCTGATTGGCTCTGTCTTTTAAATCATAACACAAGTAATTTTTACCGAAATTTTTAATTTCTTCCAGTTTCTGATCCACATGACGTGCAGACGAATAACATAAGGATTGATCAACCTTTGATTTGACCAGATAACGAAATTGTTTAGGGTGGTGACGCTAGGATAGCTACACTGGCCGAAATAAAGCATATCGGACAAGTATCATAGCTTTTTTAGTCTTGATATGGCACTAATTAATGGCTCGAATCGTGATATTTCTAGGTTCATATCGGAACCAGTGTTTGAAATTTCAGATCTAAACACTGTTCTCATGAGAACAGTATAATAGCTATAGGTGTTCTCACTCTAGTATTTCTGCTCTCACTTAATAATCATAAAAAAAACCCCTCGGATACCATTTTGATTTTGAATTATATATCAGATATATGTATAGTCAGACCTCCCTAAATGCAGCATCCTCCTAAATGCATGATATAAGTCTGGACTCATAGTGGGGCTTATAGATAAGTGCATGTTCTTTATTCTGTAAATGCATACTAATTGTCTGGCCTACTTATAAAATCTCTCCCCATAAATGCATTCTCATAATTACCGGCCAATCAAATCCATTATTTTTAGGCTACTAAAGTCATACCTATTACATAATATAATAGTTACATTGTGATTTTATTAGTGCTCTCTAATTGCAGCTCTCCCTAAATACACACTCTAGAGCTGGTCCCGATGATGTGTATTTAGAGAGGTCTGACTATATATATGTATTTAAAATTTTATTTTAGATTAAAATAACTGTCATTATATTAGAATTTTTTTATGATTTTTGAATATAATATATTTAGTATTTAACTTTGTGGATTAATATTATATAGTTTTCTACTATATACTTATGAGAACACTGTTATTATTTTACTGTTCTCAAAAGACTTCTAATAGTGAACAGTAAAAAATTTATACTGTGCACAAATTTATAATTGTGTTCCCATGAGAACTCTGAGAACACAAATTTCAAACACTGATCGGAACTGATAGAGCTATCAGTAAAATTATAAAAGCTATCAGGTTTCTGATATTTAGCCAATAGCTCTATTAGCTCCGATATGAACCTGGAAATGACACGATTCGAGCCATTAATCAGTGTCATATCGGGACTAAAAAAGTTATGATATTTACCCGATAAGTTTATTTAGACTAGTGTTGTAGAGAGGTGAACAGTTAAACTAATATTAGGTGTCTACCGATAATTGTAACATTCAAATTTTTTTAATAGATCACAGCGTATGACAGTCGAAATTTAGCATCTGTAGTCCCATCACTAAAGTAGGAGTATATATTAGGGATCTGCAGGTCGGGCTCATGCCCATGCTGCATAGGCAAGGCGCAGGCACAAAATCTTAGGCACGGACATAGGTACGGGCACGCACAGGCATGGACACAGGCATAAAAGTTTGGTATGGGTTGGCACGGGCATGGGCATAGATACAAAAATGTGGCCAAGAACTTTCATAAGTAAAGATGTGAAGTGCCAGGCATAAGTCGTCACTTAGTGCCTGCAACATTTGTGCCTGTGCCCTTACAGTGCCTGCCCGTACCCATAATGTGTCTGGCAATTTTGTGCCTAGGAACACAGGCACGGCTCAAGGTACTAGTGCCGGCCTGATGCCTAATTTGCCTGGCATGGGCATTTGCAGAACCCTAATAAAAATGTTCGTGGCAAAGCCACGGGCCATAAGCTAGTTACTAAATAACCTTAAAACCAAATTTTAATAATTTTATAATCCCAGTTTTTAACCTAGTTTAAAAACTAATACTAAAATATATACTAAACAATTTATTACTGTATACAAAAATTTTATTTAAATATTTATTTATTTTTTATTCTAATATTATATACTGTAGATATATTGATAATACAGTATCTTAAAAAAAAAAAATTAACCAATAAGTAAAATCTGGATCTAATATAAAATTAAATCAAAAGATATACTGTATAAATTGTGCGTTATAAACACACTTTAAGCAACTTTAATAAATATGATATTAGCAAAACCTATTTAACATCATCATTCTTTGGTAAACAACCATATTTTGCAATTTCTTGTAATGCTTCAACAGCCGTGACAACAACAGGTTCAGTCTTGCAATTTTTAATCAATAAATTTAAATTTTCATGAACCTTAGCATCAACCAATCGTTGGCTCATCTCTTTGCTAACTTTTGAAATATTTTTGAAACATTCAGCGCTACGATGTTGCATTTCTACTGACTCTTCAGAAATTAAGTCTTTTAATATTTCTATTCCACGTGGTCGATCAACAATCATATTACAAACATCAGGACTTGTAGATAAAATTGCCAAAGCACCACTAGCTGCGCGTCGAGTTTCAAAATCTTCAACATCGGAAAGTGCAACTAATATTTTAATCTTGTTCGATGAAGTTTTAGGATCACTATACATATTGTAGACAGGTTCACAAAACATCATATTGCATAAACATTCAGTTGCTGCTCGACGGATCATGGTATTATCAGAAAATTGTAAATTTTCTATGATTGGGATTCCTTTAGCGTCATATATACGAAATCGAATATCATTATCAGCGCTTCCCAAATTTGTTAAAGCCATCAAAGCTTCAAATTGGCAAAGTTCACTTTCTCTCTGACATAATGAAAGGAAAGGACGTACAAGATCTGCGGATCTTTCACCACGAAAAGCCAAATTTGGGTCCATTGTAATGGCAATTTTTGCTAAAGCGTGACTTGCAAACTCAGTAACTTCTTTTGTATTTTTTGTAGCTAACGGAATCAAAGCTTTGACCCCACCTTGCTGAACAATTGCACCTCGATTACTTTGGTCAGTTGCAAGATTAAGAAATATTTTGGCCACTAATTGTCGAATCGCTTGACTAGAATTTTTTGACATATTAATTAAAGGACGAATGACACCAGATTTCATAACTTGTTTTGTTCGATTAATCACATATTCATCATCATCTATAGGATCCAGATCAATATTTACGCTTTCACCTGACATTTTCTTTAATTTAAGAAATTGTTCTTCGGATTGACTCAATTTTTTCTTGTATGTTGTAACGTTTGTCAAGATTACAGCTACACCATAAAATAATGAATTATTCGTCATCTCTGAGTCTTGCACAAGTTTAAATATTTCTTTTAATAAAGTTGGATGATAAGCTATTGTTTCTTTTACAGCAGGTTTTAAACTAGAATAAGCTAATCCTTCAATAGCATTTATACGAATAGTTGTTTCTGAATCAGTATCCAAAACCATATTTTGAAATAAACCAGCCAAAAGCGTCTCATTTTCATCAATTACAGAAATTTTATTATTATTATTATTATTATTTTGTTGATCTCCAGAGGCTTTTTCATCCAATAAAATTTTTGTTAATGCAACAGCCGCTAAAGTTTTTAGTTTTTGATTTTTGCTAGACATTAAACTTGTTAAATATTTTTGACAATGATTTGCCACTAATGCTCTACAATCTTTTTGTGAACAAGCTACAGATATTATTTCAGTAATAGCACATTGAACGTCTTCAGATTCAAATTCAATACAATCCATAATATCTTCTAAAATACCTTCTTTTAATAATATGAAAGAACCGATATCATTAGATATTTGAAAAATTGATTCGAGTGCGCTATATCCATATAATTTTTCTTGTTTTTTTGTTGAATTTAGCAATTTAATAATAAATTTTGAACTATTTTGTTTAAATAATTCCATAGAATCTTTATCTTTTAGTACATTTTCAAATAGTTTCGTTAAAATTAATAATGATAAAGGTTTTATTTTTGGTGAATTGGAAGAAGTGTTACGTAAAATATCTTCATATTCGTTTGATGATATTAATGTTAAAGAATAACTTGGTTCATTTATAATTTTTTGTAGAAGATTATTTAAAGAAGATACTTGTGCTTCCTCGTTTTCATTCATATTTTTATTTTTTTTTTTTAAAAAAAAAACTAATTTGATTTTTCTTTACAATGCAGAATGATGTACGGAAGTTAATTGCATAGATGATCCCTAACGCATTATAAAAATATTTTAGTCCTAAAAAATTTAGCTGGCCAATCAAAATTTCAAGATTTGGTGTAGAGGTAACGCAAAAGTCGAAGCTTATACCGTCTTCTGCGCACTAACAAAAAAAGGTTTTCTTGCGAGTGTTTGATAATAGTGAAGCTTCTTCTAACCTAATATAATAGCAAAATATTATATAATCTAATCCAACAAAGATTTTTTAGCAAATATTTTTTTGATTGGGTAACGTTAGGGTCATACACTAGTTTGAGAATTTACCGACAAAATGCAGTCAACCAAATCAGCACGGACGATAAACTAATAAAACCAATAAGATGTGCTTTCGAATACTTTGATTAACAAATTATTTTATAAAATTAACCTAAATAAATGACTTTATAATCTTACCGAAATAGAACTAGTCGGGAGATTCTAGAGGAAATAGTGTTAGGGTACTGGGAGAGTGTTTATTGGCACGACAACACAAGCTTCTAAGAAGTTTGATAAAAATCTAGGATACCTTTCATGTGTCGATAAACACTTTCTCGGGCCTTCCCTGAGTAGGGTTGTGTTGCGAAAGTTACAATCTTGCAATGCTGTACATGTAATTTTACGTAATTTCAGTAAATGGGGTTGAGTCAGTAGAAATCAAGCAAATTTTTTTTAATAAGTTTTTTTAAAACTTTAAGCAAGGATAATT